CTAAGAATGGGGAGGGTGGCTATGAAAGAACTAGAAAAGAGTCTAAAAGGCATACATATGCAACTCAGCACAAAAGTTAGAATCAAACAAGCCATTGTATTCCCTATTACCGTGTAGGGATGTGAGAGCTGAACAGTTAAGAAAGATGATAGGCAGGAAATCAGTGCATTTGAGATGTGCTGCTGGAGAAGAGTGCTGAGGATCCCATGGACAGCCAAAAGGAAAAACAAGGGATCCTAGAGCAGATCACACCGGAAACCTCCCTGGAAGCCAAGATGACCAAACGAGACTGGTGTACTTCGGATACATCATGAGAAGAGAAGACTCATTAGAAAATGCAATAGTGCTAGGAAAGATGGAAGAAAATAGGAAGAGAGGAAAGCCACATGCTAGATGGATGGACTTTATTAAGGAGGTCATGGGTATGGGGTTGCAGGATTTAAGCAGAGGACAGAGGATCTTGGAGATATCTCATCCATAGAGTCATCATAAGTTGAGACTGACTCGAGGGCAGTTAACAACAACAAAAAATTCCCCTGATTCATGCATCTCACATTCCATGTTCCTATCATATGTGTTATGCTGTTTCAGACTTTCCTTTCACCTCTGAGCAGGTCAACAGCAGCACATCCTTTTGGATTTTGTCTCCCAAACAACTCAGGAAGTACTCACTTGGAGTTGGTCTTGGTGCTGCCATACTGCCAACACATTATCAGCTTCACAGTCTGCATCGGCTATTAATGTGCACACATGGACTACTGTCTACTCTGATTGAAATAAAACTATGAAGACCTCTTCACACAGAATCCCCAGTGTGCCTTTATCATAATCTCTGACAGAGTGAATACATTTACACAGGCAAAACCCATTTTTTTCCTCCAGGGAAAAACACAGGAGACTTGCTAATGATAAACCAGGCCATCTTCCTAAAATTTTGTAACAGAGGCAATATGACACAATAAAAGCTTTGCCCATAAATGTCGTAACTAAAACAACTGAGTCATCTTTCTGAATAAACACACACAGATTTGAACTCTAACCCTAAGGAATGTATGCAAAGGCATCTTGTAGCAACTTTGAAACTGAATGACAAATGTTGTAGCATAAGCTTTTGTAGACTTGATAGTCTACTTTGGTCTACAAAAGCTTATGCTACAACATCTCTCAGTCAGTCTCAAAGGTGCTACAAAATCCCTAAGGTTGCATACTGATATTGCAGACAAACAAGGCTATTTGTCTCTGAATCCTAAGATATGTGCCAGTGAACTTGATACACAGGCCTGAATCCTATTTTTAGTCCAAAGTAGAGCAGACCCAAGAGGGCCAGTGTGGTATAATGGTTTGAATGCTGGACTACAGCTCTGGAGACCAAGGTTCAAATCCTCACTTGAGCATAAAAACCCACATTTACTCAGCCCTAGATGATGGCAATGGCAAACCCCTCTGAAGCAACTTGCAAGAAAACCCTGTGATAGATGCATTTTAGGATTGCTATAAATAAAAAATGACTTGGAGGTACACAACAACAATGAATAGACCCCTTCAATCAGTGGGATCTGCCTACATGTGGATCCAGCAGCTAAATCTGGGGGGTCTACTCTAGTTGTGACTAATGAATAGGAAATGGGTCATAGGAGTTTATCACGCAGGTGGGATCCCATGCAAAAATGGGATTTAAACTGGGGAAAATCCACAAAAGCGGATTGTTTTTCAGACAATGTCTGAAATTATTTCACACAGAAAGTGGGAAAAAACCCACAAAAGTGAGTTGATTTTCAGTCAACGTTGGGGTTACTTTTTGGAAAATCCCAAAAATAAAAAGAAGCGTCTTTCTGTCCAGGCTAATGTTGAATTATTGCTTATTGTCTGAAAATCAACCCACCTTTGTGGGGGGTTTTCTGGGGTTTTAAATCCAATTTCTGCACAGGATTTGGAGACTTTGCCTCGATGTGATAAACTCCTATTCCCTCTTTTACCCTCTTCATGCCCACTCATTTTCCCTGTTTTGTACCAAATTGTTAGACTGGAAGCTCCTCAGGGCAGGAGCTAATTAATCCATAAAGCACCAACACACGCGGATGGCTCTTTGCCTAGAGTCCATTTTAATGCTCACTTTTGTATGTTTTTAATTGTTTGCCACTATATGCCTTCATTTCTGACTTATGGCAACCCTATCATGGGTTTTCTTGGCAAGATTTTTCAGAGGTTTGCTATTGCCTTCCCCTAAGGCTGAGAGGGTGTGACTTGCCCAAGGTCACCCAGTGTGTTTTATGGCCAAGTGGGAATCCAACCCTGGCCTCCAGTCCAGCACACAAACCATTGCATCACACTAGCACTGTGTATTGTTCTTTTAATGTGTAAGGTACTGTGCCCCAATTTTTTTTTGGGGGGGGGGAAAGCAGGATATAAATAAATATAAATAATTTGACACCACTTTTACTGTCATGGCTCAATGTTATAGAATCCTGGGGTTTGTAGTTTGTTGTGGCACCAAAGCTCGCTGGCAGAGAAGGCTAAGTCTCTCAAAACTAAGATCTCAGGATTTAATAGCATTGAGCCATGGCAGTAAAAGTGGTGTCAACCTGGATTATTTCTGCAGTGCAGATACAGCCTAATCACAGTGACCAGATGCCCTTTTCCAGGACACGTCCTCCATTTCAACCTTTTGTCCAGGAGGAATTCCAAAATGTCTTCCATTTTAAGCATGACTAAGAAGCATGAATTTACAGTTATATTAGTGTTTTTATTTTGTAATGTCCTACATTTTTATTGAATGTCCTACCTTTTGCAGTGCCTTGTCCTCCTCTGGGATTATGACATCCTGTCACCCTAAATGTTATGTTTTGTTGTGGCACCAGAGTTCTCTGACAGGGAGGGATGAAAGTCTCACAAAACTGCAAAACCCAGCATTCCAAAGCATTGATCCATGGCAGTTTAAGAAGTGTCAAACTGGATTATTTCTGCAGTGCAGATGCAGCCTAATACTGCTACTGCTAAGAATAATCTAATAATACATGGTTAAAAGCTGGTTTCAAGCTTGGCCTGGGAGTTTCCCTCAGCTCCCAGTGGAGGAGGCATCCCCAGAGTGACCAGAGATGGTCCTCCTCCTTTTATAGGACGTCCTCCATTTCTGCCTTCTGTCCGGGAGGAATTCCAAAAAGTCCTTCATTTCGAGCATGACTAAGAACCATGGATTTATATCTAAATGAATGATCTGGTCACCCTGAGCCTAATACTCACTAATACTGGAAAGTAGGTATTCACAAAAGAAGAGAGGTAAAGGAAACAACGTGTTGTTGATAGTCCACAAACTTTATTTCCTTTAAAAGCTCAACACATTTCGGCCTTGTCACAAATTGACCTTCTTTGGGGGCTATTGTAAAATGAACAAAAGTGCATTTATCATATTTGTGATATTGGGACATAATGATAAAGCATGGATTTATATCTATATGTGTGATTTGGTCACCCTGAGCCTAATACTCAGGATGGCCAGAGGTCTTCCCTCTTTTCTAGGACACATGCTCCATTTCCATTTTCTGTCCAGGAGGTCCTCCATGTTTTAGC